TGTATGTATGTATGTATGCACATGTACAGTGCATATATACATATAATAGATACATATATATATATATAGGAGAGAGAGAGAGAGAGAGAGAGAGAGAGAGAGAGAGAGAGAGATGCAGTGACACACTGTATCTAGTATATTAGTATATTGCTTCGGGTGTTACGGGGTTCTATCTAAGCACTTCAAAGCAGGGCCTCTAGGAAGGCTTCCGGAAGGGGCCTTAGGGCTTTCTGAGGTTCTATCACGAGTTCTATGAAGGACGTCGGCCTGGCTGTTGAGAAAGGTTTAGGGTGTAAGCTTTTTGTGTAGGGTTTAGGATTTGGGGAGTCTCGTTTAGGGTGTAAGCTTTGTTTGTAGGGTTTCGGGTTTGGGAAATCTTAACGCTGGGTGCCAAATTGAGAGAGGGTTTGAACCGCGAGAAGCACAAGCTTTAAGTTCAGAGCGTGGGTGCCTCAACGATGGAGTTCGGCTAGTGGGTACGGGGTTCTGATACAATCACAGCCACTGGAAAGATCGACCATGATGTGGCGCCCGCATCTTAGGTTGTGCATATGGGGGTTACGCAAATCAGAACGGATGTTACAAAATGTGTCCAATCACAGTGATTGCGCCCGTGTCTGAACACTGCCGTCGTCTACGACTTATTGCTGCTTGCTTGGCGATGGCCTTCTTGTCATCAGGTCTCTGGCGATGCTCACTCTTGCTGCACTGCTTGGTTTAAATGCAATTCCTTGAAAGGAAACGCGCGGGGCTTCAGGAATTCAAGACACCCGTGGCCCATTTTGGACCTGGAGCACATAAGCCAAAAAGCCCTGCCTTCCAACTCCCAAACCCTGGGAGTTTCTACTAGCTACAAAAAGCGGAACCCCAAGGCCCTAAACATAAACCCCCCCCCCGACCCCAAGTTCGAGTTTCAAAAGAAAGCTGAAAGAAACACATCAAGAAGCCTGCAAAAAAAAGACTAGTAACAACCGTAGATGGGCTTTAGGGTTTAGGGTTCTACAAACCCTATAAAGCCCGACGAGGATCTACAACGCACGCTCCTTTCCCAGCCTCCTGAGCACGGTCCTTCTCCTTCACGGAGCGCACCACCAGGCCGCAGCGGTCCCGGCACCAGGAGATGCCGATGCTCTCCTTCTCACAAAGGCCCATTGGGGTTTATAGGGCTTAGGGATGGCAGGGTCTCAGGGTTTTGGGGGTTGTTCTAGGCTGTTTTGGGGAGTTTTGGGGGGTTTTGCTCGACTTCGGTCGTAAAGTGTTGCTTTGGGCTGCAGAGAGTCTCAACGGAATACGCGATCGGCCGATTGCATATGCACTGTATATAAATAAATAAATATATATATATGTATGTATATATATATACAATATATATATATGTATATATATATATCTTCAACATGGAAGAGCTTAGACGATCTCGCAGAAAGGTCTCGCAGATATTGTCGTCTCTGGTGCCCGGCTTGAAAAGCTTCACTGGGAACATGACAAAAGTGCTCTAGATTCTACCTGGACCCCAACAGTATGTAGAATAATGGCCTTGTATAGGTTTGGGGCCATCATTTTACCTACTTTGGGGGGTTTAGGTAGTGACCATGACCGAAAGTATTGACCCAAGCCGGCGTGCCGCAGCCTCCTTGCCATAGACCACGCATCTCTTTCGGCGGGGCCGAGGCACTGTAGCTAGGGCAGAATCCAGGAGAGTCCTCGCGAGTAAGTTCTGCAGGTTTGTCCGTTTCACTGATTGGGCCACCCAATGGGGTCTCTGCCAGCCTTGCCACGGCCAGGGATATACTTCTTTCAAGCACTTCGGAGGGAAGTCTCGCATTGAAGACCCTACCCTTAACGGTCAAGGCAATGAAACCATGGGTTTAGGGTTTAGGGTTTATGGGCTCCGCAATCACCCAAGCACCCAGTGCCGCTGTCCTGGTTTGCCCGTCTGGATCGACATGGTCCTCCAACAGAGCTCGGGGGCAACACGGAAGCAAGACAATAGCAGTGCGTAGTGCCGAAACACCAAGCATAGCCGCGTAGCAGCGGTTTTTTCACTGCTGCAGCAGGGGCTCTGCACTTCAGTGCACTTCAGGCGGAAGAAAGTAGTTTGGGGCATCGCCGGTATGTGCTAGCGGAGCATGACTACACTTCCGACTTTCATGGACGAGAACCTCAACCACACTTCTACGAAGAAGCATGAAAATGGAGGCAGTGCAAGAGTGGCTCCATTCGGAAGCCGAGCCGCTGTGTTGATGGCAACGCTGAGCTGACGCTCATGATGGTCGGCAAAAAATAGATGACGATCAACATGTTTTAGAAAACCAATAACTTAATAACACGAATAGGGTTTTAGGGCATAGTCTAGTTTAGTTATCACCCCTTTGAAGGAAGAATACTAGTAAACCCTAAACCATAAACCCTTAAACCCCTAAACCCTATAAACCCTAAACCCTGACCCTAAACCCTATAAACCCTAAACCCTATAAACCCTAAACCCTAAATACCCTAAACCCTAAATACCCTAAACCCCATAACCCTAAACCCTAAATACCCTAAGCCTCCAAACCCTAAATACCCTAAGCCCCATAAACCCTATAAACCCTATAAACCCTGTAAACCCTTTCAGCCCTGTAAGCCCTATAAACCCTAAACCCCCCTAAACCCCCTTGGAGGAGCTCCTGGGGCAGCCGACCCCCCGGGAGCTTTGCTGCTGCATCTGCCCGTGCAGCCAGCAGGGCCGCAGCAAGGTCCTCTGCCCCAGGGGACTTTGGTCTTACAGGGTTTAGGGTTTAGGGTATTTGGGGTTCAGGGTTTAGGGTTTAGGGTTCAGGGTTTAGGGTTCAGGGTTCAGGGTTTAGGGTTCAGGGTTTAGGGTTCAGTGTTTTGGGTTTAGGGTTTGCCTGCGATCGCGACCATGGTTATTTTTTGGGGTTTAGGGTTTGGGGTTTAGGGTATCTCCATCTCCCCTTTTGTCAAACCACTTCACTCTCACGGCTTTTTTTGCGAAGTGGGAGTAATGACCACACATCCCATGTCACCACTCTAGGGTTTCGGGTTCACGGACGTTGCCCCCCTGCCCCCTTGTTGCCCTGCCCTGCGTGTGCAATTTTTGGGGCGGGGAATGGGCACCCCAGTCTCCTCGCGTTCGATGCCTAAACCCTAAACCCTATTTTAGGGTTTTTGGAGTTTAGGGTTTAGGTTTTGGGGTTTAGGGTTTTAGGGCTTTGGGGGTCTAGGGTTTTTATAAACCCTAAACCATGCGACGGAGCTCTCCTCGCGTTCGATGCTCAGGGCACAGTGAAGCGGCTGGATCCCTTCCGAGGAGGCAGCGGAGGGGCACGCCTTGTTAGGGGGACTTAGACTAAGGGATCGGGTAGGGCATGGAGTGATGGGTTTGGGGTCAAGGTTGTGGGTCTAGGGTTTAGGGGCTTAGGGCGTAGGGCTTAGGTTCGATTGCGGCTGGGCATGAGCATTGGGGCATTGTTGGCTGTGCAGGGTCACAAAGACAGATTGGTATGGGGTTTCGGGTTGGAACGTAAGAGTTATTGGCCGAGCTTTCGTGCTTCGGGTTTCGAGGGCCTGGAGTGTGGAAAACTGGGTGCTTTTCGCACTTGGAGACTCCAGGATACCCTAAACCCTAAATGAGGATTTGAGTTGGATTCCGAGCCCTGAACCTCTAAGCCTAAACCCTAAACCCTAAACCCTAAATCTCCAAGCCAGAAGCCCTACACGAATTCCGGAGTTCGGTTTCGCCAGACCGACGGCCTGGCATCGTAAGGATGTCATTCGGGATCTAGGGTTTAGGGTTTAGGGTTTAAGGATGTCATTCGGGATCTAGGGTTCGGCCTTGTAGGAATGGCGGAGGGCTTGCGACTTGGGATATTTTGGGGGTTCACGGCTGAGGAAGACGATGGTGGAAATGAAAACGGTGGTGATGTTGATGATGATGACGATGATGATGATGATGATGGCGATGACGATGATGATGATGATGGTGGTGATGATGATGATGATGACAATGACGACGGCGACGACGACGAAGGGGCCTAGAAGAATAAGGAGGATGAAGAGGGCGAGGATGAGGATCAGGAAGGTGATACGGTGGAACACGAGGAGGATGGAATTGATGACGATACTAGCGGAGAGTTATGCCAAAGATGATGACAGCTCTGTCAACTAAACCGCGCTAATCCACTGCGAGGCCGCCCGAAACTCCAAACCCAACCCTGCAAACCCTACCTGAACCCAAACAACCTACCTTTTTTGGGTTCCTTGTTGTAGCTTCTTTATATTAAGTCCTCAAAAGGGTAGGTTCTTTGGGGTTAAGGTAACTGCTTACCCCCCCTGAAACCAAAGCACCATGCCTTCGCGTAGAGCAGCAGCTCCGTCACTTCTTGATGGCCGGCGTGCACCGCGTGGAACAGCGCAGTTCGCCCGGCGTGGTCCTGTGTATTGTTGGGTGTCTATAGGTTTCGGAAGTTTGGCATTTTGGTCCGAAAACTAGAGCAGCGTTCAGGGTTAAGTTTCGGAGTTCAGGATGCACAGCTTAGGCTTCAGGGCTTGAGGCTTATCGAGTGTACGGTTTCGGGTTGTAGGCCATTGTAGGCTCGTAGGGCCGTCGGCTGAAATCGAAGGCTGTAATTAGGCTGACAGAGCTTAGGGTTTTCTGTTTAGGGTTGGCCTACACCCTATAAACCCCCAAACCCTAAACCCTAAGCCCTAAACCCTAAACGGCTAAACGGCTAAACGGCTAAACCCTAAACCCCAAACCCTTTAGGGTTTAGGGTTTTGGGACCCCTTATAGCGGTTTGGAGTTCAGGGCTTCAGAGAGGTTCAGAGTAGGGTTCCGGCTTCGATGCGATGCAGGGCTTCGGGCTCGTGGGCTTACGGCGGCCTAGGGTTTAGGGTTTAGGGTTTAGCCGTTTAGGGTTTAGGGTAACACGGTTCAAGGCTGCGCGCAGAGCTCGTAGGGCCTGGAGTTTGGGCGGACGGAAGGAGCCAGGGTTTAGGGTTTAGGGTTTGTTTTTAAAGGCCTTGGGTTTAGGGTTTAGGGTGTCGAAGGAGCTGATAGAAAGAAGGATCAATAAGAGTTTGGTGCAAAGCAGCTCGAAGCTTGCATAGACCAAGAAACCATTCAAAGAGCTGACATTCAGGCAAGAGCTGTCTGGACAAGTAGGGCTCGAAACCCTGCTAACCCTACACCTTCAAACCCCACCCATCCAAGATCCCGGTAAACAAACCCTGTCAAAGCCACACACGACAACCTCCCAGCCGGTTCTTGAAGAAACACGAAGCAAGCCGCTTTAAGCTTCCTTATAGTCCCTCCCTGTTCAGACTCCAAGAGAAGCGCAAAACCCATCTCTAAGACAGCTAGGCTCCTAAACCCTAAACCCTGAACCCTGAACCCCAAACCCTCAACCCTATACCCTAAACCCTAAACCCTAGAACCCTAAATCCTAAACCCTAAATCCTAAACCCTAAACCCTAAACCCCGAACACTAAACCCTGAACCCTAAAACCCTAAACCCCAAACCCTGAACCCCAAACCCTGAACCCCAAACCCTAAACCCTAAACCCCGAACCCTAAACCCTAAACCTAAAATCCTGAACCCTAAACCCTAAACCCTAGAACCCTAAACCCTAAACCCTAAAATCCGAAGCCCTAAAACCTGAACCCTAAAACCCTAAGCCCTAAGC